GCTTTATCTCACTACATATGCTAACCTCATTTCAGCCCTTACATCTGTATTCTCACCAATTCCCCAGAAGGGCCATGTGACCTCTTTATTTTATTTTATTTCTTATTTGGAATAACAGATTAGAATAGTAGATTTTAATGCAATGTAATGAATAGTAGAGTGAAATGTATTTTGGAATGGTACATTGGAATGTATTTCTCTGGTCTGGGGAGACATAACTCTGCACAGCCAGTCGCCCCACCTCAGAAAAGAAGATGCTGTAAGGTCGCCTTCATGATTGAGAGGAGATGGATGGAGCATGATGGCAGGGTCTCAGTTAAGCAGCATTCCACAATTAAGGATACATCTGCCCATCCATCTCCAATTTTGACATATTTAATTCCTTCACTTCAAGTGGTTAAGACGCTGTACTGCAGACCAGAAGGTCGGTAGTTCAGCAGTTCGAGACCCGAGTGTGCCGCATGACAGAGTGAGCTCCCGTCTCTGGTCCCAGCTCCTGCCAACCTAGCAGTTCGAAAGCAAGAAATTACAAGTGGTTAAATAGGTACCACTTTGGTGGGAAGGTAACAGCGTTCCGTGCACCTCGGCATCTAGTCATGCCGGCCACATGACCATGGAAACGTTTTTGGACAGCACTGGCTCTTCAGCTTGGAAACAGAGATGAGATCCCTACAGTCGGACTCGACTGGCTTTAGAGCAAGGGAAACCTTTACTATATTAATTTACTGCTCACTCTTTACCTATACGTATGGACCAGTAATTTCCGTTTCACTGTATCTGAAGAAGTGTGCAAGCACATGGAATCTCATACCTTGATTAAAAATTTGTTGGTCTTAAAGGTGCCACTGGACTCAAACTTTGTTCCACTATGAAAGTGGTTAGTGATATAATGCTCAGAATTAAGCAGTTTTAAGCAAACAGCTGTTGAGGTACATCTATCCTCTCAAGCATGGTGTCCCTTATGCAGTGGTATAAGAATCATGTATGTCTTCTTAGTCTAGAGGGAAACTCCAGGTACTTTCACAACTTGTTCCATGATAAGTCCCTTGCACTGTACTGAAGCTGAAAACTATACCATTTTTTTGTTATTTACCTGGAACGGTATTTGTTTTGTTGAGAAAAGAATACATGCCATCATCAGTGTTCCCTCTAAGCTGAGTTAGTGTGAGCTAGCTCAGATTTTTAGCCTCCAGCTCACAGATTTTTGTCTTAGCTCAGGAAGGATGGCTCTAGATCAAACTAATTTATGCAGTAGCCAAATCACTCGCTCACAACTTTAATGCCAGCAGCTCACAAAGTAGAATTTTTGCTCACAAAACTCCACAGCTTAGAGGGAGCATTGGCCATCATGTGTAATGAATGTAACCAGTTGTGCTATTTTAGGAAGCAAAATATGACATTTCTTTTTTTTTCCCTACAAATCCTTAATTTTTCTGTGAAGAATATCTCTGTAGAAAAATCATCATATGTGAAGTTGCTCCTAGAAGAACCAACTGCAGATAGAGTGAGTTTCTTGGAACCTTAGGGGAGATTAGGGGGAGTAATGGAAAAGAAAAGGGTAGTCAATGGCTGGAATGTAATCTCCATATGCAAGGGCTGAGCACTTTGGAATGCCACTTGCTTCGGTTTCATAGTGGAAGCAGCTGTGCCCTTTGTGCAATGTTTTTTGGTTTCTCAAAAACATCTGGTTGGCTGCTATAGAAAACAATGCTGGAGGAGATGGGAGTCAAGGTCATATTTTGCCTAGGGCACAAAAAAGCCTTAGGAAGACCCTGGACAGGTTATCATACCAAGTAAATTTGTATGTGTGGGTCTCCATACCAAAAAGGTTGGAAACCACTGCTACAGACTGATACGGTTAGGCCTAGACTGTCAAAAACCTGTTATGACATAAGGTGTCATTTCTAGGATTTGCTTGTTTCATCCCTTTCACCTAAAGCCCATTGAGACAACTTGGATTTCATGCTGTTCATGCCCACATGCTGGCAACCTGAAGGGGAAAAGTCATTTGAATATCCTTAATGATTCTAATACAGTTTCTGAGTTTATCAAAAATTTAAAGCATGTATACTCAGATGTAAATGCTTAAGAGCACGTCCTAAGGCTAGTTTTAAAGAGCAAGTCTGCTGGTTTCGCCTACTACTTTCCCATTGTTTTGTTTTATACTTATTAGTTTAATGTAAGCAAACCATACAATGTACTTCAGTAACACTGTAAAATTCTTCCTTCCACTATATTGTTCATCATAGCAGTTAGAGAAGTAAAAATATGAACACTACATCAAAGCTGGTAGACCTCTGATCTTTGTGTGTGGCTTTAAAAGTTCTAATACTTGGGACAAGAAAAAGCAACTCAAATACTATACAAACAAACATTTATTTTTTCCTAAGGTCTTCCCAAATTAGATTTAAAAACAAACAAACACAAACACCAGAACTGAATTTGTTTTTTTGCAAACTCAAAAAGTGAATTTTGTTATGTTTTAGGCAACAATTCCAGTACAAATAACTGTCTGGTACACACAACGTTCTTTATTAAGCATTCTAAATTTATCATGATTCACAGAAAGTCAGTAGACATTTCTTTGATTGTTAAACTTTTCTTTTAACATGACATAATTCAGTTCTGTGTGTACACATAGTCCTACAGATAAGGTACAGTTAAGTTTAAAAGGTTAGCATCATAGGAAGAAAGAGGAGAAACAAGTGTTTCACAGCATTCACAAAGTCATTGCCAGTAGGTAGGTAGGTAGATAAAGCTACCCTATACCAAGTGAAACTATTGATCCAACTACCTCACTGCTTTAGGTTTTATTTCATATATATGAAACCTAATAAAGCAAGAAAATAAATAAAGGATGCTAGACATCCCTTTATGTAAAGGAATGCCAACCTTCCAATACAGTGGATCAATTTTTTTTTACCTGTTTCAGATGCAAATGGCCTAAAGCCCATTCCACCATCAAGTAGCTGTTTCAAACAAGATCCTAAATTTAGCTGGAGATACCAAGGATTGAATCTGGGACCTTTCAAATGCAGAGCATGTAAACTCTGACCCCTCTCCCTATACAGTCAAATCCAATCTGTAGGTAAATGGCGAAAGATTTATGCAATCTGAAGAGAAACCAATTAAGGTTTTGTGTGTGAATCTGTAGGTAGACTATTGCCAGTAATGGCCATAAAGTTTATTGTTCAGAAAGAAGAAAATAGTCTTGGAAGCTTTGTTACCAGATAAGCAAAAATTCTCATATATGTGTGAGAATCTGGGAGGCCTCCATACCAGAATGAGAGCTTTTGCACTCCTCTGTGCAAACATATTAGGAATTCAGGTTCCTATCCACCATTAAGGAGTACCAAGTTTTTGAGAAGGAAAGAAGCAGTCTGAGAATCTGAAACAGGTATGGGTGTGAGGGTACATGGAAGAGGGGGTAATCCTTCAGCTGGAAGGAGACTGGTTGCATACCCCATTCTCTTGCTGTAACTGGTGCCCATGGCTAGACAAGCTGAACAAGGGGGTGGAAGCTTCATTTTCTGTCAACTTTAAGTAAATAGTTTCTTTGCAGCTCTGCTAGGGGGGTGGAACAGAAAAGGTTGTGAGTCGTCTAAGGAAGAAATCCTTCTCATCTTTAATGAGATTCAGGGTGAGGAGCAACAGATAAAGCTGCTGACATTAAGTACCTGAGTTGAGAAATTGCTTAAGAACAGGACAGCTGCATTCCCTCCAGCCTTTTTTTTTTTTTTAAGCAAAGCATGTTATGAGCCAGCTGTGAGAGGGGGAAGGAGGGCAGGCTACAGTTTGGGTCTCCCCCCCCCCCACAATCCCCCTCTTAAAAACCAAGAATGAGGAACTGATAATCTACACACACTTAAGGTGTAAACAATTCTGAGGAGGACAAGAAAACACACACACACACACAAAACAGGGCAATTCAATTTAAGGTAACCAAAAAAGAGAAAGAGCATCGTGACTAGAAGGTACTAAATGCCGGACGAGAACCGCAGGGGGACCAAGACAATGGCCATTTAATTTTCCAGCTGGCCAAAACCACACCGATAGGAGCGCGCTGGCCCACACCCTCACTTGACACCAATGGAGGAGCGCAGCACTTGACTCCATCCATCGCCCCCTCCCCCATACGCACAGCCAGGACTACAGAAAAAGATAAAGGGGGGCGGGGGCTGACCCGACCCTTTTAGAGCCGCACAGCTTGCAAGCTTCTTCCGTGGTGAGGGCGAAGAAGGTGGCCGGTAGGCATTGCAGCTCGCTAAGACTTGAGTCAGGCAGAGAAGAGGAGAGCAGCCAGAAGAAACGCAACAATGAAGAGCGCACGGCTTGAGGCGAGAGAGAGAAACAGATAGGGGGAAAGGGGGCAAGGCAGAAGATAAAGCGGCTGAGGCGAAGCCCAGAAAGGGGGGCGGGCGGCGGCGGCAGAGTAGGAAGTCTGCTTGGGGAAGGGGGGAGCAAAGCCGGGGAGGGTTGAGGGCGCGAGGGCTCCTACAGAGCCGGGTGTGTGGGCAGAGGCTGCGGGATCGGAGCCCCAGCGCCCAGGGAGCCGAGGAGCCAGGAGGGCGGCACTCACCGTGGCCTCGAAGACAGGCGCTGGAGGAGGCGGCGGAGAAGGAGGCGCGGTCAGGGCAGAGGGGGCTGAGCCATGCTGCTTTGCCCTCTTCGCGCGCCCCACCAGCCTGGGGGGAAAGCCTGCCCGACGCCACGCCGCACCGCCCAGTCGGCCGCAGGCCCCTCCTCTCCCCAGCGCCGCTTGGCCGGCTTTCCCTGGCAGCCCCCTCCTCGCCTTCCCTCGGCGCGCCGGGAGGCGGAGTCCGCCAACGCGCGGCTCCTCTTGCAGGACGGCTACTGGGGGAGGAACAGAAGGAAGCCGCGGCTTCACGCCCGTCCCCGCCCCGGCAGGGCCTGGACAGGAGCCACCGCTGGGCTTGGCTTAAACTTTTTGCACGAATGTGCACTACAGATTTCGCATCCGCACAGTGAGGCTGACTTACCGGTGCGCATACAGCAAGGGGCGCAGGAGTGACGCTTTAGGCCAGAGCCAGGCGAGGGTTTACACAGAGTTTTACACAGAGTTGGAAGCAGTTTGCAGGAAGACTCCCGGTGGTGTATATGATACACGGTTCTTTTATTCCACGGTTCAAACAGATTCTGCAAGGCTGGGGCACAACGCAAAAACCTGCAGTCGTTGGAAGCGGTGAAGCCCTCTTCCAAATGTCGGGAAGGGGGGGGGGAGAGCATGTGGTGGTGAAGTAGGTCTCTGCTGTTGCTGACGAAAAACGAGAGCAGCAATACCCCAGAAGCAGCTTGATCGTTTATGCATCCCCCTCTGAGAGCAACGGGACTGGGTCACAGGCAGGATGTTTACTTGGAAGCAGGTCTTGCTGCCTTGACCGCGAAAAGAGTTGCAGCTCTAGTCTTCCAGCTCTCGCAGCACGCCCGCTCTTCGCAAAGAAAGCTGATCACCCAGCTCTTTGCCAGCACAACAGTAGTCTCGTTTTAGCAAAAGATTGCTAAACCTCACTTCCCCAGTTAAAGGCGGTGCTGTCAGCCCTGTGGCCTCTTACACATTCTGCTTCCTTTGCGTCTGATATGCGAGGCTACTACCTACCAAAGCGAAGAAACCGCTCACACCTCAGTGTGTACAGCCAGAACGCCCTCTGTGCTCGACAGGCCTTCCTGTCATGGAAAGATAGGAATTGAGCCTGAGCCCACGATGCTCCTTTTCTGTCTTTGCTGCAACAGAACGGCTGTTCAACTGAACGCTTGAGTCATCTTCCGTCTGCGCTGGAGGTAGCTCTCCCCTCCCATCTCTGCCAAGTCTTTCGCAGGAGGAGGCTGCTGGTAACTCTTGCCTAGGCTGCCCCCAAGCAGCGCAAGGTCCTCTGGCGGTCAAACGACGGAACTGCTGGTGAAGTGATTTGCTGACTTCTTGGGCTCCAGCTGCATTTGTGGGACAGGATTCTGCTGGGTCTCCACATTTAGCCATGAGTCCAGAGGGTCAACATAAGGCCCCCTGGCCACCACGCTCAGTCACACAGTTGGAAATTCCGCTACTGACATGGTCCCTGTTATGGTGCATGCATTATCTTAAAAGTGTGCTTTTCTGCAAAGCTACTGGCTTATTCATGCAAATTAAGTAGATTTACTCAGTTAAAATTTATCCATTATATACTAAGCTGTCCCTAAGGGGCAAGATTTATTCCAGGATAATTTTTTGTGAGTTAGATGCACTGGGGGGGCGGGGTATGTAGGCAAGTGTCTGGCAGTCCTCCATTTCTTGGGTCTCCCTATTTATACTTTGGCAGCTAAAGGATGAAATGAGGCTGCTCTGCTGATATTCTGTCACTCTTTGCTGCTCTTCATATGAAGTAACTGGAATCTTGTTGTATAGGAGCACGGGCATCTATAAAATGGTCATTTATTCCTCCATTTTCATCACTTCAAATACTTCTTATATGAATGTGTGAGCCAGGCGGCTCTGTGCCTTGTGTAAGCACACTGTAGTAATGTGAATGTGATCATCACACTATACAACACCAACTTGTCTATTTATTTAAATATTTATATTCCACCTTTTCTCCAGACTTAAGCGAGTTTACAAATAATAACTAAAAGCATCGCAATTTAAAACCAACCAAATACCCACCCAGTTAACCCTTCGTCTCCTCACAAGAGATTCCTGCATTTTATACCCCATTCAAAGCCCTGGCAAATAAAATGGCCTTGCAGCACCCACTAAAAATTTCTAGACAGCTTTCTGGTTACCTCCTAGGGACCCAAAGGAGTTTCTGCAAAGTGGGAACTACAGTGGAGAAGGCACAGGCCAAGGAGGCTTCCTTAAGCTGGGAACAGCCGGTAGAATCAGAATAAAGTTTATTGTATATGGCCATTGGCCCTCACAATTCCATATAAAAGTGGATCCCTAATATCTTAAAATGCACATTTAGTTATTACATTCAGTGAGAATTAAATTCATTTGTACAATATCTAAAATATTTAAAATGCCTCAAATTAAAATTGTATACAGCATTTACAAACTCCTATTACAATTGTAACAATGTTAATGCCTTGCAGCTCAGTAAGCTGCGTTCCTAAGAACCACCTTTGCTCTAGCTTTCCTGGCTGCTAATGCAAAAAGTGCTACCGTATAAGATACCAAATGATTCACATCTGACAATTAGCTTGTCAGTGTCAGAAAAATTATGCAGTTGATTAAGTATTTGAGATAAAAATCTATTTCTAAGATCCAAATATATTTATTTATTAGTGGGAAAACCATTACATAATGAAATAGATCTTCAAGTTCCACATAGACAAATACGTTGTTCTAGGGGAATTTTTAGATGTCTTCCAGTCAGTACTTCTGATGGCATGTTCAGAAATCATAATGCCGTGAATGCCACTCTTGGACTATGTGCAGTAATGTTTATTAAATAGGAGACTTAAATGATCTTTCTTTAAGGTTTTATACCAAGGGACAGATTTTGACTGAGCAATTAACTGGTTATCTATTAAAGCATCTCCATTATATACCCATTGTCGCAGATCGTAGTTGTTCCAGGACTTAGAAAATAACAATTAATGATTGGATTCTTAGGGTTCCCATAGGCTTAAATGTTTGTGACATGGTATATTAAGCACAAGGTGATCTTTAGTATATAATTCCTGCACAGTGTCTTTGTGTGATCGATCACGGAATGAGGGAGTACTTGTATTTACTGTACAAGCACAAATTACATGAAAATCAACTAATTAGAGAAGTACAAGTGAGAGGCTTTTAAATGGTTTAAAATTTTAAATATTTTCTCACTTCTGCCTTGGTTTTGAGGAAATTCAGTTAGTTGCTACAGCTAAGTTTTTCTTACATCTCTGTTTTCCAAAGCAGATGGCAGGAGAACTGCCACTCTTAGGTGATAAAATATGGGCAACCCTTTGAACATGGAAAACATTATACAAGTACCAAGTGTTATTATAATATGACAATGTGTTGATTTGTTTGTTTCATGTATTCATAGTATGGAATGTCATACAAGACATTCTATATTAGCAATGCATGGAAGGCACCAATCAACCTATAGCCCAATGGCTGGACTCCAGATATTATCCAATCCAGTATACACACACCCTCTAAACAGAACCAGTGAGATAATTATCACAGTTCAGGGGGTCCACTGAATCCCTAATTGCCGTGATTAAAAAAAGGAAATAAAGCTTACAGCCTGCATTTGGTGGATCTACAAAAAGCCTTCTTCCTGTTGAATTTGTGCAAATACTACCCTGAAACCAAATCAAAACTAGCTTCCTGGAAGGAGACAAGGTATTTTGGTAATTTCCAGAAGTTTGAGTAGGTTCAGTCATGTGTGAAGTCAATATTAGGAACAACAGAGTGGTGGTTCATGGAAGTTCACTTGTGCCTCCAGCAGCTTCTCTGACTTCACTCCCTATAACTTTTGAATGTTGTTGAGAATAAGTGAAGCTGCGAGATGTGAGACTGCAGGGCATGGAAACTCTTTTTCCTCTCTACCTGAAATTTGTGAGGAAACATCTTTTGAATGAGGGTTCCACAGACAAGGATTAAAAAGAGCACTAGCCCAGCATTGTGGGCATGATTCATTTGGTGCTTGCTCTTTATAAAAATAAGAAATGTGGGGGGGATCATGCATCGTAGCTGTTTAAGTCATATGTAATGGATTGGTCAAGATGTGGGAGCATTGGCCAAAGACTTGCTACTTGAATTAGGACCCATAATTTTTCCTCAGTCTCTGTTAAAGTTGGATGTTTATAAGGGAACTACTTGGATGGGAGGAGATGCATAAAAGGTTAGAATTAGAGTCAGGGGTCATTTCGTAGAAAAAGAGCTAGGGAAACTCATTAGCATAACATTAGCATATGCCACACCCCGACATCACCGGAAGTGTGTCATAAGGCCACACCTCCTGACATCACCGGAAATGTGTCATAAGGCCACACACCCCGCCCCCAATGGTCCCGGCCGCCGGTGCCGGCCTTGCAGCTCCACTGCCGAGCCCCATGAGGGGCCCGGCAGTGGAGAGGCAGGGAGGAAGCAACTTACCCTCCCTGTTCTCCTGCCTCCTCCTGGCTGAATGAGGGCCGGAAGCAGGGGGCGGGGCTTCGTCATGTGCCCCGCCCCCTGTACCTCACCCGGGGGAACTGCGTTCCCCCCCGAAATGACCTCTGATTAGAGTCCAGTGGCACCTTTAAGACCAACAAACTTTTATTCAAGTTGTATTCAAGGACAGGTAAGAATAATTGGACTGGGAACAGTATCACTTTTTGTGGGAGACTAGCTGCACTATCAAACAGCCACTGAAAAAGTGAAGCAGTCTACAATGGCAGCACTGGGAAGGAGACCAGTAATTAGTCCTTGTGGCCACAAAGTTCAGCATTCTTATTGACAGGGTTTCAGTTATAACAGCACAAGCACAGTCAGCCCGAAAACAATCATACTTCCTGCTAGGCAAACAGCCAGGGCCAGATGGAAAGTCAGGAGTGCTTTCCCAATCACAATACCCAATCAGCTCAGCAACAAATAACCAAGTTGCAGAAGTGCGCATCTGTGGAGAACAAGATTTCCTGCAAGGATGAAAGCTATATACACAAGACAAAACAACAGAAAGCTCATGGTGACCATTACCAAGAGCTGCCTGATAACTGATCTCCAAAGATCTTAAGTCTCTTCATTGTTGGATTATTATGCCATTAAAGGTTTGTTTCTCTCTCTCTCTCCTAGAGAAGGGGGGGGAGTCTCCTCATGTGTGGGGAAAGTGCCATTAAGTCTCAGGTGACTTATGGCAGCCCTATAGTGTTTTCAAGGCAAGAGACAAGCAGAGGTGGTTTGCCATTGCCTGCCTCTATGTAACAACCCTGGACTTCCTTAGTGTACTAAACAGGGCCAACTCGGCTCCATTTCTGTGATCCAAAGAGATTAGGCTAGTCTGGGCCATCCAGAGCAGAGAAATCTCTTAGTAGCAAAGTGCAAAATGGGTGCATTTGGTTAGAACTGAAACCAGATCAGAGAATTATCTTCTGAATCCAAAAAACCCAACATTCTCCCCC